CAACATAGCTTCTGTAAGAACTGCAAAGTACAAAACCAAATCCTCTCTTTTCATCTCTGGGCTCTTATTTGAATTCATAGACATTTTTTGCCTAGTATACAACACTTACTTTATTGTCTTGTTTTAATTTGGTCCAAATAGCGTGAGATATTTTAGGCCTTCAAAATGGAGTAGCATGTGCTGATTTTGACTCATTCAATCTTTATTCCCACCAGCTTAAGAATTTTGTTAGCCACTTACGATGTTAATAACAGCAGTATCTTTAAAAAGCATTATTTCATGTGTATTATATATTTAAATTTTGTTCATTGAGGATAAACATGACTTACACTTTTCCTATATATATCAAATATAGTAAATGCTCAATTCATACTATATAATCAAAATTACCTGACTTATTTATACATATAATTAAATACCATAAGATGACTCAAAAACTAATGTAATAACTTGAGAATCATGTACAGTTTTAATAACTATAATTTTTATAAAAAATGTTCCACTTTAATCAAAATTTTGACAAATTATAAAAGTACAAATTTATCTAAAATTTATATTAATTTTAAAAAATACTGATATGTACACTGTTAAAAAAAGGTGAAAAGATAGTCTCATTTCTACCAGTGACTCACTATACAACCAATCATAAAAGCAAGTGACAAATTTTTCTATGTCCCTTAAGTCCAGTAAACTAAGGCAGCTGGTGGATAATCTAAGTCTTTTTCCCAGTTCAAAAATCCTATGGCTGTCAATGCTGAGTTCTATTCTTAGGTGTCTCTCACTATGAAAGTTAATGATAGCTACGTTAATTTCAAGGCCTTTTGACACCTACCTCTTGGAGCTAGAAGGAAATCTGTAATATCTAGTTGTCTTATATCCAACACCTTCATATTTTCTAATTTACATGTTTATAAATAAAAACAAAGGCAGTAAGCAGAATAATGCCCTCCCCACAAAAAAAGATATCCACACCCTAATCCCTAAACCTGTGAATATGTTACCTAACATTAAAAAAACGTTCTGCCCTAGCCGGTTTGGCCCAGTGGTTAGAGCGCCAGCCCGCAGACTGAAGGGTCCCAGGTTTGATTCTGGCCTAGGTTGCAGGCTCGATCCCGGGCCCTGGTAGGGGCCCATGCAGGAGGCAACCAATCGATGTGTCTCTCTCACATTGATCTCTCTCTCTCTCTCCCCCCCTTCCACTCTCTCTGAAAAGCAATGGAAAAAATATCCTCAAAAGGGTTGTTTTTTTCTTGCAAATATGATTGTTAAGAACCTTGAGATGGAGTGATTAGCCTAGATTACGAATGAAAGCCCAACCTAAGGAATCCTTAAAAGCAGAGAACTTTTCCAGGCTGAGTCACAGAGAAGCTATATTACTGGTTTTGAGGATGAAGGAAGGTGTCATGAGCCAAGGAGTGCAGGTAGCCGCTAGAAGCTGAACAGGGAAAGAAAATGTATTCTCCCCTAGAGCTGCCACGAAAAAATTTAGCCCTGATTTTAACTCAGTAAGACCCATATCAGACTTCTGGCCCAAAGAACTAATTATAAGCTTGTGTTGTTTAAAGCCACTAAATTTGTAGTAATTAAATAGCACTAGAAAAAAGAATACTGCACATCAAAGAAAATTCTGGAGAAACGTGTCAGTAAAAGCAGACTTTAAATTTTTAAAAAGAAAATGTATTTATGAATTACTTATATAAGTAAAACTGAATTTATCTGTTCAAAATTCATTAGTTATAAAGTCTCTGATTCAATTATTAATGCATTGCTTAGATATAATAATTTTTATTAATAAAATTATTTACATACCTAATTGTTCAATAATACTTGAAACCATCCCAAGAGGCTTTAATTCAATATCTTCAGGCAAAATAATAGTGAGTTCTTCAACTGAAGGTAGTTCCTATAATATAAAAAAGCATTACTCTTTCTCTAACTTCAACTTTAAAATAAGGGAATGAGGTTCCATTTAAAGTACTGTAGACATTCATGAAGGTATAACAGTAAGTACTTATACCATTTCCTTAATGTTACTCTTTTTAGTGTCTGACAGCATTTCTCCCACCTCCAGCATCTCCCTACCTATGTGATGCAACAGGTCTGTTGTCCACGCCCTAGGCCAGATAGACTGAGAATACAGAAGTACCATGAGACTTTTTCCAATCACATTTGCACAAGAGACAAATAGACAAGAAAAAGTTATTGTTAAGGAATCCAAGGTTAAGAAAAGAGACAATTCACATAATTCCCAGAGACATTCCACTTGAAAAAGAGTAATTCCACTGGTCACTACAGTTTCTCCACAGAAGAAGAGTTCTCTCTCTTAACTGCCTTGATTTGATTAATCCATTAAATTGACTGTGATTAAGTTGTTGAACAGAGATGCAGCAGTCTTTTCTGGAGCTATGTGAAAAAAGAGACAAATGTTTGGCCTCTTCAGGAAAATATACAGAATTCCTGGAAAAAGAATGCAGGCATCAGCTCAGGAAAAGCTGTGAGAGTGTTTCCTGTTATCTTCCCTCTCCAGGTTAAAAACCAAATTTTTAACATCAAAAGATTTCTCTTTCTGACCCACCCAGCACCTAACTCAGTTGCTATAGAAACTAAACAATGAAGCAGAGATGAGGTTGAAGAGAAATCTAAGAATAAACCGGGCCCTAGGCTTTAAATTAAATAAACAGGGCTTTCTTTCTATTCTTGACCATTGCCAAAAGATCACAATTATGGCATGTTAGGGGTTAGTTTGGAAGGAGAAAGATAACTTCTGGAGAAATGTTAAAAAAGATGGGAAAACCTAAATAATACAGCGTTACTACAGATGAATGCATCATAGGTAATGATTTTCCTCTACAGGGACTCAAAGAAAGTTTTTAATGAAATCACTTAACCAGGGTTAAACTATAACTTGCTTCTAGGAGATGCTATTTTTTGATCAAGGATTACTTATAAAGAGCCACACTAAGGGTCTCAACCAACTCAATGCAGAAGACTTAAATCTGTATGGTTGTAGAAGAAATGACTGTGTTTTATGTATCAGAATTTTTCTGTACATTTAGGAAGAGGACAACTACTTGTCATTTTATCATATTAAATATGGAGAGCCTTTTCTTGGCAAGACCATGATTTGAAAGTGGTCCATGTGTGTATCAGAATAGAGAAGGAAGTTCAGTTATTAGAACTGGTAAAGGACACGTGGTATGGAATAGCCTTGTTTAAGAAGTTCTTAGCTAAAGAAACCCCACACTCTGTTAAATACAAGACTGGAAAACTATGATGTTGAGAGACTGCAGACAGGATGTTCTTCAACGGTATTTTAGAGGGCAATTGTGATACGGGTCTCACACTGATTCTGGTTCAGGGAGCAGCACCTCTTACAACTGGCCAATGGTATTTCTAATACAAAAGTAGAGTGATGAAATCTGTCCTATTGCTGACCCAAATTAAGGTAAGATCGAGAGGAAAAAACGTTCATTACTTTTGGACTGTGATAGAGCCTAGTGGTTAAATCAAGTCAGGAGTATGTTGGTAGAAGGATAGGGAAGTCTCTGAAAGAGGAAGTGCTGTTAGAGCTTTTATAAAACCTCTGAACTGGATATGAGTGCAGACCACATGCCATTAACACTTCAGACACAAAATCAATGTTATTCTCAAATACTAAATAAATGTTATTCAACCACAAAATGGCTCCTCATTTTATATTTTCTATTAGGAGGAGTAAAGTCCCATGCAATGTAATTATGTTTTCGTACGAATCTAAACTCTGATACTGTTTTGGTTTTTTGAAACTTTAAAGCAAAAAATTAATAAAAGTTTGTTTTTAATAAAAGGAAACACTCAAGTAGTACAGAAGAATGCAAAGTAAAAAGCAAAAATTCCCCTAACCTATTCCTTTCAACTTCCCAATTCCTCTCCATAGACTGCTGCTGTTAAAGTTTTTCAAATATATTTACTATGCAGATATAAACTTCACATTACTAATTTTAAAATGTTTCACTTAAATAAAATATAGACATTGTGATATAAGCTATCCTTTTCATCTATCACATCTTGCACATCCTTCTACACCAAAACATAAATATCTACCTAATTTTATTTAAACTCTCTTATGGTATTCCACTGTATAGACAGATATACCATAATTAAGTGCACCTGTCACCCGATAAAACATTTGCCTTTTTCAAATTTTTACCATTACATACAATGAAACAACAAATATTTTTTCACATATATCTTTGAATAAGCCCTGTGATAAATTTTTCTAAGTGTAATTGCTAGATCCAAAGACATGAGCATTTTTAATTTCCTTCCAAAAAGGTTACATTAATTTACAGTTCCACAAATGACATATAGGAGATTTTCCTATACCCTTGCAATCATCGATAAGCAAATTTTTTCCAGTGTGATAGGTCCAAAACAGTATCTTGCTTTAATTTAATTTCTTCATTAATCAAGAAGACTGAACATCCTTGCATGTTGTCTGGCTATTTTTATGTTTTTATGGATTGTTTATGTCTTTTACACATTTGTCTTTATCTTTTTATTAATTCATAAGAGAACTCCAGGTTTTTAAGAATGTCTGCCCTTTATCAAACTTGTAGCAAATACTCCCTTACTTCTCAGCATATTTTTTAGCATTTGTTGTTTAATGAACTTGGTATTTTAATTTTTATGTAGTCAAATATATCAATCTTTTCTTTTTTTAGCTTTTGAGACTTATGTAAATCACATTTAGAAAGACATTCCCTTGATCAAATTAATTTTTAAAATCCATTGATATTTTCATTGCTTTTCTAGTTTCATTTTTAATACTTGCATATTTGGTCTATTTGTGATTTTATTCTTGTATAAAAGCGAGGCAGAGATTGGATTTATCTTTAACCAAATTACTAGCCAATTATCCCACATGTTGAAGAATAATTCATTCATCTTTTTACCCTACTGATTTGAAAACAAATTTTAACCTAACTAAATGTATTTATACATTTGGGTTTTTGCTAAAGTCTCCATTTGGTTCTACTTGATCTATTTCAGGGTCAATACTAAACTATTTTAACAACTGTGCATTTCCTATTATGTTTTAATATTTGGGAATAAGGGGTAGTTTCCCTATCCACCCCACATCAATATTTGTCCCCTTGGGATTCTTCTAGCTATTTGCACATATTTATTTCGCTGGATAAACTTTAAAACCAGTTTGTTATATTAGTGTTGTCAGTATTGATTAAAATTATATTTAATTACAGTTGTCTTCTTACAGGTCCTATATAGTCCTTAGGCTTATTCAAAGCCATTTTGTACCATATTTGCTATCATAAGTTACTATTTACTTAATATTTTTTACTGCTATTATAAATGGATTCTTTATAGAGTACTGTTTAAAACCAGAAAACATCATGCTGAAATTTGTGTCTAGTGATTTTCTTGTGTATTCACCATATTACCATATTTTAAAAATATAAGTACTCCTTCTTTTCAGTATTAGTACATCATACTTTTCATTTTTCAACATTGGTTGGTATTTCCAGAATGTCAAGTGTCAAGCAATTGTGATGTCTGACTCTATTAGGAACTTTTCAAATGTTTAGCATAATGATGCATCTTGATTAGAATTTCTTTCTAATAAGATTAAGAAAGTATCCATCTATTCCTACCTCATCAAGTTTGTTTTTTTAAATCAGAAAGGACTGTTTAACTTTATCAAATGATTTTTTATCATCTTTTGAGATCATTATAATTTACTCTAAGTTGAGCAGATCAGTCTGATGAAGGCTGTGCTCTAAGGGTATCTATGAGACATCCAGCACGAGGAAGACAGGGGAAGATACACAAAGCCAGAATATTTGTAGTAGGCAGGGACTGATACTTGTGGTCAAAAACAATCCAGCAGCCCCCCTTAATTCCTTTTGCTACAAATGGGGAATACTTCTGATGTCATGCAGGACCAAACTTAGGGGAAAGAACAGACACAGACATTGCTATCTGTGATCACCGCCATACTCTAATTCCAGTTCAGTGATCCCAGTAGTCCTTAACACAGTAATGTATATAACATTTCCTGAGCATTCCTAAGAGAAGCCAATTAAGGCATTAGTTGTCTCTTAATAGTAACAGATCTACCTATAAACATTTTGTACATAAAATCTCTATCCAAAATATCTGCAGAACACAAAAGCTATATAAAGAACGAAATACTGTACATAAAACATGTAAGACACACATGGGATCAATAAGTGAAACCAAACCTGTACAATTCCAGGTTGAGAGCCTGTTACAGTTTGCCCTTGAAAGTCCAGTTAAATCAAGTAGTATATTTGCTTTGAAAATGGCAGACATTTTGGGACTGACCAAGGGAGAAAGGACGCATCTGTCCCTTTCAAATGAGCATGTAGAAAAGGGCAAAGGGGAGCAATATCCCAAACTTAACAGGCATTCACCCAAGCAATGCGGTTTCCGTAAGACTTTGGCATGTTCAAAGAGGGAGACCTTTAGAAGGTTGAAAGGGAAAGTTCCTTGGATTGCCACATCCGAATGGGGCAATAAAAGGTTGTATATTGATGTTTGGATGTCAAACATCACCTTCACTTCCCTAATGGCTAAATCTAAAGTACTACACCACCAATAAGCCTCGTCACTCTATCGAATTACCCTGCTGCTTTCCTTTTTTGTAAACACATTACTGTCTAACATACTATTTGTTTACTTCTTAAAGTCTATTTTCCTAACTAGACAATAAATCCAACAAAAATTTGAACCTGGCCAGTCCTGCTCCTTGCTACAGCACCCAGGACAATCACTAGCACATAAGAGGTGCTTAGTATATATTTACTAAATGAACTGACTTTTCTCCATCAGTCCATGCTAAACAAAAATCTCAGAAGAGGTCTTTTTCATTCAGAACAAAAA